GGGAGGGGGGGGGGGGCAAGGCGTCCCCAAGCCTGCAGCCTCCTCCTCTGTCGCCTCAGCACTTCGCCCTGCTCCTCAAGTACCTCATCCACGTGGCCATCCCCGACATCCCAGGCTGGGTGGCCGAGGAGATGGCCAAGCTGGAGTACCAGCGCCGGGAGGCCTTCAAGGTATGGGGGGGGGGCGGGCAGTGCGGGGCAGGGCCGGGCTCGGCTGCCGCCTGCACTCAGCGGGGCTTCTCGGCCTCGGCCTCCGCCGGCAGCCAGCTGCTGAGCAGGAGGGAAAGAGGTGGGAGCCCAGGGTAATGATGAGCGCGCCGCCCGGGCCGCTCCCTCGCGGAATCCCCGGTGGCATCCAGCACCGGCCTGGCACTTGTGAACCTTTAGTCATCGCCAGCTCGCCGGCAGTGTCCTGTTTGGGGCCAGGGACACGGCAGATGCTTCCTAGAGAAGCCCGGCTTCTGCCACATTCCCCAGAAAGCTGCCGAGTGGGCCAAGGAGCTCATCAGGGCCAGGCGACGCTCTCCGGGATGATGGAAACATTCTGTGCCTGCCCCGTGTGATCCCTCACTACGGGGGGCTGACGGGCACTTGATGTGGGGCTGGTACAACCGAGAGACAGAATTCTTATTTTGTTTTATTTTAATCACTTAAATTGGCATTGACAAAGCCACATGTGGCTCTGGTCTGTGTCAGTCATGACTCTGTCCCTGGTTCTCCAGAAAACAGAACGGTTGAGGCCCAAGATGTGTTTACGTTCTCCCAGTTCTTAAGACAGTCCCTGGCACATGGCTGGGGACAGCGTCGGTGGCCCGTAATGTCCGTTCCCTTCTCAAGTCTCAGAAAGTACTGGCATGGATCCAGGAATGCAGTTGGTGCCTAATAAGTGGTTAGATCTCTCCCTACTTCCTCAGAGAGCCCCGGGGTGGGTCCAGGGGTGCAGCTGGGCACCAGCCCAGTAAGTGTTTGGATCTCTCCCCACTCCGGCAGAGAGCACCCGCGAGGGCCTGGGGCCTCAGCCGGCACCTGCCCACACCCCCCCGTGTGCCCAGTCCCGGTAATGGCTCTTTTGCGCCCGCAGAGACATGAACGTCAGGCCCAGCACCGCTACCAGCAGCAGCAGCGGCGGCGGCGGGAGGAGGAGGAGCGCCAGCGCCACGCGGAGCACCACGCCCGGCGAGAGCGTGATGCCAGCGGCCGGGAGGAGGCTCGGGCCGAAGGCTCAGGGCTGGACCCCGCTGCCCCCGAGAAGGCCTCCGCCAAGGCCAAGGGCAGCGGGGCAGGTGGCCACGGGCAAGAGCGGCCCAAGCGCCCGGGGTCCTTGCTGGCGCCCAACAACGTCATGAAGCTGAAGCAGATCATCCCACTGCAGGGCAAGTTCCTGTCGTCTGGGGCTGCATCCTCACTGGCTGGCGCGGGGGCCGGCCCTGCCGCCCGGCCACCCCCTGCCCAGTCACCCACGGGTAGCGACACCCGCCTGCCAGCCTTCCTCAGCTTCAAGTTCCTCAAGTCACCTGAGACCCGGCGGGACCCAGAGCGCAGCCACTCACCGCCCAAGGCCTTCCACGCCGGCAAGCTCTTCCCTTTCGGCGGGGCCCGGGCTGACACCGGGTCCAACGGGGCAGGCGGGCAGGCCCGGCTGGACGGGACCCCCGGCGGTGGAGGAGGCCGAGGCCAGCGGAGTGGGCCGATGGACGAGGCTGCGGCTGAGGAGCCGGACGCCCCCCGGCCTGAAGAGGAAGGCTCAGGTCACAAGCTTTAACTCGGGGGTGGGGACTCTGGGCGGGGCTCGGCGGGAAGGGCTGGGGTGGCCAGGCCTGGGGAGAGGGGCTGAAGGGGACAGAGGAGGCCCGGTCTCTGGTACCGGCTGGGAACCTGGGTATGTGGTACGTGGAGCCTCTCAGTCAAAGCCGCCTCAGTGTCTCCAGGACCCCGACAGCCAAAGCCCCCTGTCCTAGTACCCCTCCCAGGGCACCCTGCCCCCCGTGCTCTGGGGCTGGGAGAGATGAAGAACGCTTCTTCACCACCTGGCCCAGCCTCTCCTGCCCTATGATAAGGCCCCACACCCAGCTCACTCTGGGGGGACTGGACCCCCCTCCCCCCAGGCCTCTATGCAAGTCCGCACCCTGCAGCCGAGCTGTTCAAGGAGGCCTTCCTTGGAAGTGGGGGCTGCAGCTGCCCCCGCCTGGGGAGCTCGGGGTGCTCAGCCACAGGCTGCACCCACATCTGTGCTGAGCAAGAGGTGCCAGCCTCACGGCCCCCACCCCAACCTTGCCCTCCCAACCCCAGCCCAACCCAGCCCCAGGCTCCAGCAGCTCATCCCCCAGGGAGCCCAAGAGGTGGCAGCTGCAGCACCAGGGACGAAGGTCAGGAATCAGAGGGACTTCCTCAGACTGTCCTTTCCCCATGATGGGGAGGGGCCCAGTGCCCAGAGGCAGGGGAGGCACCAGAAGACGCCCACCCCTTGTCACTGATCAGAAGCAATAAGGCCCTCGATGTGCCTGGAAGCCGGGGAGGGAGCGCGGGCAGGGTCTGAGCGGGGTCCGGCGGCGGGGGCGGCACCCCCCCGGAACGGCCCCTCTCGCCTCCGCAGGGACAGCGCTGGCCCCCGTGGGCGCCCCTGCCCTCCGCACCCGCCGCAGCCGGAGCCCCGCGCCGCCGCCAACGCCGCTGCCCCGGCCCCCGACGCCGCCCGCAGGCTGCTGGCAGTGGGACGGGCCGTGGGGCTGCGGGGGCGAGGGCGCCGCCCCCCGCCAGGCCCCCCCCCCCCCCGCCGCCGCCGCCGCCGCCGCTGCCGACTGCCCGCCCTGCGCCCCCCCCGGGGCCCCCCCCCCCCCGCAGCCCCTGCCGGGGGACGCCAGCTTCTACAGCCTCCCGCCCCCGCCGCTGCCGCCCACCTCCGAGCTCCCCGAGGCCCCGGCGCCCTCGCCCAGCCCCAGCCCCCAGGCCGTGTGCTGGCCCAGCGGCTGGCATTAGCTCCACCCGCCCGCCCTGCCTTCCTGTTCTCATATGCAATATCAGTCCGTGGACCGGGGCGGCGGCTGCCACCCAGAAAACGCGCTTCGGCCCGACGGCCCCCAGTATTGGCTGCCCTGTCCTGGGGCAGGGCCGGGGGCCGACCCGCCCCCCCATCTGCCGTTTTCCTTTCGACTTGGATGGGGAAAACGAAAGGAAACCCCAAAAAACCAACAGAAAACACACAGAATAGGCGATTATTTATTTGTTTTTAATTTATTTTGTCATATTTTTGTAAAACGGCAGAAATGCAATAAAAAGTATATTTCAACAGTGCTCGAGGACAGAGCAGTGGAAGGGGGATCAGGGTGCCCAGTGACTTGTAGTTGGTGCTGGCTTCCGGGGTACCTAGCAGGCCTAGGGTGGGTGCCCCTCCCATCCTGTGACCCTTGGGGGCCTCCTCCTAAGAACTGGGTCTTGAGGCCACAGATGGAAAACTCCAGACTGCACCAACTCTGAGTCGGCCCAGATTTGGGGGCCAACTCCAGGCCTGGGGCCCCTGGGAGGAGATGCAGAGCCTCAGGCCCTGGCCTCAGCCTCCTAGACAAAGGAAGAAATCTCAAAGTGTTGGAAAGACTCAGCAGTTTGGGTGCCAGGCCTGAGTCCCGAGTTGGCCTTGGTCCAGCAGGGGGACAGAGGTGACACAGTCCTCTTCGCCCCACGTTCTGGCATAACTGCCCCCCCACCCCAGGCTGTCATCTGAAGAGCCACTCGGCGGTGGAAAGAACCTGGGGTAGGAAAATCAGAAGGCACCTGGCACCGGAGTCTGGATGTTGAGGGGACGGCACGTTCGGGGATGGAATTAGGGAGTGGCTGGGACGCCTCACTGTGGGACCGCTGTCAGACCTGAGTTGCTGGGACTCTTCGTTGTGTGGTCGGGAATGGGACGCGACCCCTCCCCCCACCGCAAGCATGTCCACAGCTAAAGGCTCAGAGTCTGATGCGCCCTGCTCCATGGCTGGGGGAGCCCAGGGGAGCCAGCGTGAGGAAGGGGCACTTCGGAGGGCTGTGAAAGAAGAAACCAAGGTTCACTGGAGGCAGGAGAGCAGACTGTGCAAAGGCACAGAGGTGTGGGAAGGCAGAGTTTGGTGTCCGAAGGAGCAGAGGAATAAGGGGGCGGTCCCAAAGGCAGGAGAGGTGGGCAAAGGCTGGCCGAGGAGCCTGCACTCTGGAGACCTCAGTGGGCCCTGGCCGTGGGACCCCTGCCTGAGCCATGGATGACACTGACAGACGAACCCAGTCGCTCAAGGGCCAGAGAGGTGAGGGCAGGGGTGCCACCAGCTCCCACTGTCCTGTGGCCTTTGAAGCTGAACTGTACTCACTAATAATCAGGACACCACGTGCCTGCCTAGGGGCAGACGGAGCCCTGGGACTGGGGATCCCAAGGCATCTAGAGCCTCTGGGCACTCAGCCCACCACACCACCACCGAGGTCAGCTTGTATTTTGTGAGCACCTGCCTTGCAACCACAGGGACTCAACGCGATGTAAATGCCACCCACAGCTGGGAGGAAAAGCCCCTCGGCCCCACGGCACAGTTAGGTGGTAAACCCCAGAACCTTCCACCGTGGGAGGCGCTGGGTGGCCCAGGCCCTAGCGGTCTGGCTCAGGCAGGGAGCTCCACAGTGATAATCTGGGGTTGGCGCCCCCTAAGGCCTGGTGTTCCTTCTAGCTCCATGGCCCAACCCCCCACTTCCCACAAAGCCCCAGCACTCAGCTCCCAGACCATGGCCCCCACTTGGGGCTGGTGTGGGGGGAGCAGCAGTGTTCCCCCTGGCCCCAGGCCCAGTGTTTGAAGCCTCAAACCTTCTGCCTGGAGCCTGAATGCCCCCTATGTCTCCAAACTCAGGCCCAAACCCAGCCTAGCTGACAGCCCGTGAGGGGCTGTGTGTAACTCGCAGACCAACAGCCCCTGGGCTGGGCGTTCCTCGCAGCTCCACGTGCCTCGTCTCTGAACCAGGGGCGCTTGAGGCCGGGCCACCTGGGCTGTCTCTGCGGTGGCTGGTGGGCATGCCACCCTGACCCAAGGCATCCAGGGCGTGGGGTTGACCACAGTTATATCCTTGGCGACATGGCCCATCTCTCAGGGGTGTCCTGGTCCTCCGGGACACCTTGACAGGTGAGGCATGGGGGTGGGTCCAGGTAGGTCTTGGCTCTGAGCGAGGTGGCCACAGCAGGCCCATGAGAGAATCCAGTGGGTCCCAGGGCCCTGGCACGTGGGGGCCCTTCTTGGCTCCTCTTGGTGATGATGAGACGACTCTCAGCAGCTCCGTCCTCCGGGGCTGAGGCACACGGAGCAAAGACGCGAGGTCGAGTAGGAAAGATCCTTTTATTGGGGTGGACACGGAGCACGCACTAGTCCATGATAAAATGACTTAAGAGAAAGATCCGGAAATGCCGACTTCTCCCCCTGGCACAGGTTCAGAGCAAAGCCTGGGTACGGAATAGGTCCCAGCCAAGTCTTTAAGGCCCGGACTGGAGAGTAGGAGCAGGGAGAAGGGCTCCCACCCATGCTGCCAGGCTACAGCAGGGCCCCAGCGCTAGACCCTTGCAGACACGCTCTGGCTTTTCCGGAGAACTGGGGTGGAGGGGGTGGGGGGCACAAGGGGGATCTGGGAGGGGGGCTTGTGAATAACAATGTTGTTTTTTTAAAAAGCATCTACCAACATCACACTACTGGGTCTGACGTCCCCTTTAACCATCGCTTGGTACATTTTACAGCATAAATAAAAACTCAAGGAAAATAAATACATCGGCTCCTATGAGGTTGGAAGTGGTACGGATGGTCGGGTGTGGGTGGGCCGGTGGGGGGCAGGGCGGGGGGCGCTTACACAAGGCGGGCGGGCGAGGAGCAGATAAGACAGGAGGCGCCTGTGGGGGAGTGAGAGTCTTAAGTGTCCTCGTGCATGTCCGGGCTGTCGGTCCGTGCGACCTTGCGGGGGGGCGCCGAGCTCTCACCCTCAAGGTCCACTTGCTCCTGGTCTCTCTTCTTGGCGGCGTTCTGTGAGGAAGGAGAAGGGATGTAAATCTTCACTCGGGTGAGTCCCTGAAATCCTGTTGCTGGGCGGGAGTGGGGCAGTGAACCCAGGGCCCCCCCCCCCCCCCCCCGCCCACCAGACCTCCCTTGCTTAGCCACAGTCTTCGGGGCCACTGGCCTGAGACTGCCAGGCATCTCCTGGGCACTGTGAGGAGTCCCCACGGCTGGCAATGACCCACACACCATCCAAAACGCCTGGGGGTAAAAAACACTCAGGAGCCACCCAGGGGGATGACGTTCATTGCCACAGAAGAGGAAAAGTGGGCCCGCGTGGGAAACTCTCCTTTCCCCCCTGGTGGGAAGCAAGGTCTGTGGGGTAGGGCAGGAGGACAAGGTGGGCTCAGCAGCTTTAGATTTTCTGAGCAGTCACTTCATTATGGGGTCCCCCTCCAGCCTGGCCCAGAGCAGGTCACTGTCTGATGTTCAATGTTAGGCAAAAAAAACCCCAAACAGACTATGATGCAGAACACATACACATCTGCATTCAAGAAAAAGAAAAAATGGGGGCGCCTGGGGGGCTCAGGTGGTTAAGCATCTGCCTTCGGCTCAGGTCATGATCCCAGGGTCCTGGGATCGAGCCCCGCACCTGGCTCTCTGCTCATCAGGGAGTCTGCTTCTCCCCATCCCTCTGCCCCTCCCCCCTGCTCGTGCTCTGTCTCCCGCTGTCTCTCTCTCAAATACATAAAATCTTTAAAAAAAAAAAAAGAGAAAGAGAGAAGGAGAAAGAAAGAAAAAGAAAGAAAGAAAGAAGAAAGAAAAAGAAAGAAAGAAAGAAAAAGAAAGAAAGAAAAAGAAAGAAAGAAAGAAAAAGAAAGAAGAAAAAGAAAAGAAAGAAAAGAAAAGGAAAGAAAGAAAGAAAATGAAAAAATGTCCTGTGTCAGAAAGGCAGCCTGAGGGGAGATGGGGGTGGGGCTTCTCACTGCAACTACACCCATTTGTATCTCCTAGAATTGTCACCATGTGTACATTTCAGCATTGAACAAAGACTCTAGGTAATAACATACTGGTCTGTCTGCAGCCAGGGCCGCGCGGGCAGGCTGTGGGTAGCCTGGCCTCCGTGCCTCCTGACAAGCCCTGGCCCATCCCTGAGCACCAGAACCCTACGGCCTTCGCACAGCCGTGCACTCCTCTCAAATGCTTTTCCCTCCCCTGGATGGCCTGGCAAACTCCGATTCAGCCGTCAAACACCTGGTCTCTCAGCCACCTGTGTCCTTCCCCCACTTAGTGCCCCCCCCCCACCGGCCACCATGGTCCCCACGAATTCTAGCACCTGACCCCACGTGCCTTACCTTTTTGTCCCATTGCTGATGTAAGTAGCGCAAAAGGATGTTTGTCTTTTCTGTCACAATGACTGAGGAGAAAAGGCAGAGAAAGTTGCAGGCAGAGGCTGCAGGTGACCCAGCCCCCACCCCGGCCTGCACTGCCCCTCCCAGGGCAGGCGCTCAACCCTCCCTGGTCTCCCACCCGTCTCTGCCCTGGGTGACCTGGCTGGGGCTCCAAGTCTGCACCCCCAGCACAGGGGATTTCAGGAAGCCTAGTGTTTTTGCTCCGAAATACAAAGCTACTACCAGGGGCCCAAGCCCACTGCTCCACCTGGGCCCCTGCTTTCTTGGGAGAGACCAAATCTTCTGCCACATGTGGGAGTCCACCCCCACGTGGGGGAATGAGCCCCAGCACACAGGCCCAGGCAGACCAGGAACACAGATCTATACAGATGTGCCCCAGTGACCACAGAACACACCGTGCACGGTCCAGGTAGCTTCTTCGTCACAATTAAAATAAAACACCACAACCACAATAACGCTGGGGTCCTCCTGCTCTGCAGGCTCTGTGTCTTTCTCTGCAGGCCCCGCCACCTGGTCGCCCCTACCTCCCTGAGCTGCCTACCCGAGGCTGGGCGGGATCCCCTCCCACAGTACAGTCGTCTTGGGGTCTCTGTGACATGGTGCTGGCAGGGGACACCCAAAATTATGGGAGACGAAGGGGAGAGGGCTGATGAGCAGATGAGGGCTACGGAGGACCCCCTTGGGGCTGGATGTGGATGCCAGCAGGTGGAGATTAGGAGGGTCCCAGAGCAAGCGAGGCTTTCCATTACTCCCAAGGGCTGGGAGCTGACTGGCATCCCCTGGGTCATCACCTACACTGCCCTGCGGCCCTTCCCCTCAGCAGCCAGGTTGAGACAGACTGACAGAGGCCGCTTACTCTGTTCGGATGGGTACTCCCGCGTGGGCAGGTAGACTGAGGGACGTCGGTTCTGCAGGAGAGTTGGGAAGACATGGGTTAGGAGAGCCGGTAGGCTGACCAGGGCCCCCACCCCTTCAACTGGGCACCCACCCTCCAATGAAGATAGAACAATGTGCAAAGATGTCGGATGGGGCCGGGCTTAAAGACCAGCCTCTGTTCCTGGCAAGACCCTGATGGGGTGTACACATCACCCCCTTCCCCCTGGCAGCTCCCCGACCACATCCAGTGCCCAGAGCATGCACTCACCGAAGCTTTGCACACAGAGTCAGCATGAAATCGACTAAAATTGCTTTTGTTGTAGACAGGCAGTCCTTTCAAAAAATCTGCCTAGAAGACAGGGAAGATGGTAAGTGAGACCAGGCAGCAGGCCGGGTTGCCCCTGGAGTTCCCGTGAGACTGGGCTTCCGGGTGACGTCCCGTTTCCGTCTCCGTGTTCTTTTAAGTTTTCCAGAATGCACCTGTAAGCTGGCTACCTGATGTGCACACTGGGATGACCAGGAAAAAGTTACTAGCCCCGGGAGAAGTGAGCGTTCTCTTTTAGGGTCCTCCCAACAGCCCTGTAACCAGGTAAAAGGTGGGACAACTGAGGCTCGGTGAGGACAGGCCATTTGGTTAAAGTCTGGAGCAGGGAGCAGGGTGGGAAGTCAGACCCGGGCCCATACCTGCCTTCTATGCTTGCTGAATATTAAACTCCTGGTCTCGTTTCCATTTATCCACCTTGATAGAGACTTGGCATGGGGAAAAACTCATCTACCCCAAAAAACCCTGTGAGCCAGAGTGACAAGAAACAGGGGTGAGGGAGCAGGGACCTGGGTGAAGGGGAGAGGGTGGCCGGGACACAGGCTGCCACTCTAGAGAAACCGGAGCTCAGGGGCAACTGAGCTCCCAAGTTCTTTTTTTTTTTTTTTTCTTTTTTTTAGCTGCCAAGTTCTAAGAAAACTCAGAAATCCAAGTCTTAATGTGCCCTTGTCAGGTTTTTCAAGTTGGCTGGGCTTTTTAGAAAATGCTGTGTGGACCAGAGCAAACAGGTTTGTGAGCCGGGTCCGCTCAGGGGCTGCTCCTGGGGCCCACTGACACGGAGGCTGCCCTGCGAAGGGAGAATGCCCTGTCCACGGTGCGGAGCCTGGCCCCTCACGGGGAGGGCCGGATTTCGCAAGCCCATGAGGCTGCCAGGAGCCAGCAACAGAATTCATTCACAGGCCTGACTCGTCAAAAGTCCTTTTTCCCTGACACTCTGGCCTGAGCTGGGCAAGAAAGGGCGAGGTTTCTGAAGGGGAAAGGCCCTGACTCTGGGAAGGAGGTGACTCTCAGCCATAAGATGAGGGCAAGAAAGGCTGACAAGAGCCATGTCCACCTCAGGAAACTGAGGCACGAGAGCCTGAGGAATGCTCAGGGAGGGATGATGGCTGAGAGCTTGGGGTAGGGAGTGACTTCTCAGCAGAACAGGAGGGCAACGCTGTCATCAGGCCTGGAGTGGGGCATTTGGGGAGGGATTCTCCACGTGGCCCGCCAGGGACTGGAGTCACTTCATAATAAAGATGAGGAAGTTGAGGCAGAAGGGTCACATGGTACTTGTCTGAGATCACCCAGCCCCAACAAGAAAACAAGGAAGCAGATTGAACCGAGGTTCACCCAACCTCAGAGGTCAAGCTCTCTGTGTTACATGCCATGCCAGTGCCTCAGTTTCCGTGTCTGAAAACCAAGGGCCCAGAGCCCCTGCAGGCTACATTAACCCCGCTTTGGGAGACCCATCCCCATACCTGAGCCCAAGCTAAGCAATAAGCAACCTCAGGGAAGCAGCCCTTCAGGTGATCCCCCACCACCCTCTAGGGCAGGCAGGAACAGGTGTCCTCACCTCTGTGGGAATCAGCCCTTCCTCTACTGGGCCCTAACAAGACCGTGGCAGTATGGACCAGCAAGGGAAGCTGGAATGTGGATGGGCCTCCCACTTCCACCCAGGAAGCGGCCCTCACATCTGTGTGACCTACTACTGCCCTGGAGACAGCTCAAAGCCCCTCAAACTTGCCTCCTCCATCCCAGGACCCCTGCCCCAACTCCACCTGACTATAGGGCCAGCTTCATCCATCCAGCGAGGCTTTCCTCAGGGTCCTACTATGTCACAAGCCCGGCACCAGGGCACTGGGGTAAGCCACAATGGAGCTGCTCTTGGCCCCGGGAAGCACCCCCCATACACAAGGGCACAGGTGTGCATCCAAGAGCTGTGCAGTGAATGCAGAGTGACCACGAAGACAGGGTGCTGTGAGATGACATGAGACTCAGGACAGCACTGGGGAAAGATGTGGCTGATTTGGACGATCAGGAAGGGCTGCCCAGAGGCAATGATGCAGGCACGGAGACCTGAAGGGTAAGGAGGAGCTTCTGTTCCTGCTCAAACCCCTCCACAGGCCTGGCTTGACTTGGCCTATGCTGTCCTCCTGCCACAAACCCCCTCCGTCTCTGCTGGTGCTGTGCCATCCTCCCAGAATGCCCCTCCTTTCTCCCTGTGGGAAACACCCACCAACCTCTCCACCCAGCTCAAAATCCCCCTCTGCCCCTTTCCTCTCTCCACACCTTGGAAACCTCTGCCAGAGCCAAGATCACACCCCACCGAGGTCATCTGTTTACACGTCCACCTCCCTTGCTGGACTGGCTCCTCCCTGAGGGCAGAGGGCAGGGCAGGGCTGTGTCAATCCCAGAACCCTGGCAGGGCTCACGTGGAGCCAGGCGGCAGAGTGGTGAGAGGTGCGGGAGCCCCACACCTGCACTCAATCCTGGCCGGGCCCCTCACTGGCTGTGTGACCTGGGGGAAGGAACCTCCCAGCCTGGAAAGAGCTTCTCACAGAGCTCCCTGGAAGGCCAGCTGTTAGCATCAGTGCGTTTGTGCTGAATAAATGAATGAAGACAGTATGACCAGTACTTCCTGTCAGCTAAGCAGGAAAACAAGGCCTGAGACACGGGAGAAATCCTCACTCCAGCCAGACAAATCCTAGCCACAGCTGGGCCCAGAAGCTGTCCACTGCCTCAGCAAACACTCACTGAACATGTGTGTGCCATCCCTGCACAGGCAGCCCATGAGTGACCCATCTAAAGGGAGATGAAAAGAAAAGGTGTGCCAAGAGAGGAGAGACAAAGGGCCTCCTGAAGTCAGGAAGGGCTCCTCTGAGGAGGTGATGTTCACAGGAAGAACATTCCAGGCAGAAGGAGCAGCAGGTGCAAAGGCCCTGGGGTGGAAGGGACTTAAGAGTATGAGGACATGAAAACAAGGCCAGGATGGCTGGAGCTTGCAGAGGGAGGAGTAAAGAGGGTAGAGATGAGGTCACAGAGGTGGACAGGGGCCTTGGGGGCTGAGGGGGAAGCTGGGGTTTCATCTGGGTTACAAAAGCCCCTAGAGTATCTCATATGTTAGAAAGTGGTATAATGAGATTTACATTTTAAGATTTTTTCTTTTTTTTTTTTTTTTATTCACGAGAGACAGAGAGAGAGAGAGAGGCAGAGGCAGAGGGAGAAGCAGGCTCCCCGCCGAGCACGGAGCCCGATGTGGGACTCGATCCCAGGACCCTGGGACCATGGACCTGAGCCGAAGGCAGACCCTTAACCGACTGAGCCACGCAGGCGTCCCGAGATTTACATTTTAAATTACAAGCTCCCTCTGGTTTCCCGGTGAATTACAAACTGCCAACAGGGCAGGATGGAGGTAAGGAGACCAGGGAGGTGACTGGGGCAGGCATACAGGCAGGAGGTGGCAGGGCCTGGACCAGGGTAGGCAACTGTGGAAGAATTCACCATGCATTCTAGAGGCAAAGCCATCAGAACTTCTTATGGACGGGACATAGGGGATGAGATTGCAGCAATGAATCAAGGACAACGCCCAGGCTTGGGGACCCACATGCTAAGAACCCACTTTCCCATCTCCTTCTTTTGCCTATCCCCCACCACATACCATGAGCTATAGGTTGTGGGCTGGGACCCTGGGTCCAGCGACAATGGGGCTTTGACTTGCCTTGACAAAAGCTTGCATCACCCCTGTCAGTTCTGGGGATGCTAAATAGTGGGGGCTGGGGGGGCCTTGAGCACAACTCTGATGCCAAGTCACCATCCCACTTTACACGGTCGGGGACAGAACCCCAAAGAACCATTATAGCCAAATCCCAGGATGAGCAAGTGGCCCCACCAGCTGGCATTATTCCCACTTAAAGGATGAGAAGCCAGCTGGGAAAAGATGCCACCAGCCCCAAGTCACCCAGCTCATCTGTTGATGAGCTGTAAACTGTCCTAAGCCCTTCATGACATCAGTTCTCTGAACTGCCACAACCCTATCAGGTCTGGACTATTGCTGCTACCTCCATTTAACAGGGAAGGGGGCTGGGGACAAGAGAGATGAAGCTGCTCTGTCCTAGCTGCAGGTCGGGCCCGGAACGCTGGGGGTGGGATCAGGGCTCTGGGGGTCCTGAGCAGTTGTGATGTCGCACTTCCTTTGGCGACAAAGCCCCACATGTCACGATGTCAAGCCCCCTCCCCGGCCCCAACGCCCAGCCCGGGCTCCCAAACCCTCCTGAACTAGAGAGACCCAGGCTGGGCATGCCGAGAACGAGGCCTGAAATGGGGGTCTCGGGGGACCCCACCCCCACCCATTTCCGGCGGAGCAGCGACCCGGAAATGAATGGATTGTCAGGGCCTGGAAGCCTAGATGGGGTCAGGGGTCGGTGAGAAGGCGCCGGGGAAGGGTCAGCAGGAAGCTCACAGCAGGGTCCGGAGGTTGAAGGTTATAGGGCAGAGCGAGGGGCGGGGCGGGGCCTGAGGGGGCCGGGCAGGGAGGTGAGGGGCTTCAGGGATTACTAGAGGTGGGTGGGCCCGCGGCGCCATTTTGTCGAACGGAGGGGGAGTACGGGCCCAGCAGCCTCTCTCACCATCTTCTGTTTCCTCCGTCGCTGCCTCAGCCACCGCCTCAGCCGCCGCCGCCGCCACCACAGCCGCCTTCTTAGCCGCCGCCGCACAGTAACTTCCAGCCACGGCACAGCCCACACTGATGGCGCCACCGCCCCCCGCTCATTGGCCTGCCCTCTAGCCCCGCCCCCAGAATAGCGGCCTCTGCGCGCTCCCATTGGCCAGACCCCGCTAAGTCACGCGTCCATTGGGCACCACACCTCCTCCCTTCGTGGTCAAGTTCGGTTGAGGAAGCAAAACCCCGCCCGGGAATTGGAAGCGAAGGCAGCAAAATCCGGAAGTGGGCGGAGGCCATGCCCTTGAAGCCTCTTGGGATTTGTAGTCCACAACGCCGGGAGGTTCCGCAGATCTCTTTTTCTAGTGTTTACTTCACTTTTTAGTATGGGTCTCAAGGAGTTTCCACAGCAGTCCCGGAAGAGAGGGACCTACCGTAACACCCCCAGCATCCTCTCCGGGGTCCTAACCTTAGGTTTCGGCATATCTAAACTGCTCTGCACTTGCTGCTTCCTATCTTTGAAACGACAGCTCAAATTCTCTTGTTCATATGCCCCCGTGGCTCCCCAGTCCCCCAAGGATCCAGTCCCATCCCCTTGGCCCCTTATTTTGAGACACTCCGGCCTCTCTCATCCATCTTTTATCCTGACCCCTGGGTCTAATCCTTCCTCCCTTTGGGTCCTCCCAGGCCCTGCTACGTCTTTCAGGAAGACTTCTCTGACTACATTCTTCCCAAGTGCAAGCCGGGTGTAACTTCCTCCGGGCTCCCACAGCCCTTACGATCCTCCTCTCAGCCCTGACTCCGCTGTCTACAAACTGCCTGGGTACAAATCAAGTGCTCCTCCCCTGCCCAGCAGACAAGGACTCGGCACCCAGTACATAGGAAGTACTCAGCAGGGGCGCCTGGGTGGCTCAGTCCTCAGGCGTCTGCCTTCAGTTCAGCTCATGATCCCAGGGTCCTGGGATCGAGCCCCGCATCAGGCTCCCTGCTCAGTGGGAAGCCTGCTTCTCCCTCTCCCACTCCCCCTGCTTGTGTTCCCTCTCTTCCTGTGTCTCTCTCTGTCAAATAAATAAATAAAATCTTTAAAAAAAAAAAAAGTACTCAGTAGTACTAGGTGGAAGCTACTGAGTATTATTATTCCAACAATGCAGGAAAGGAGAAATAAGCACCTCATTTCGTAGGAGCCAAATGAGCTTCAGAGGGCTGAGGCCTTGCTCAAGGTCACACAACCCATCCCCAAGGAGCAGGAGGATTCAAACCCTAACTCCCCACAAGCCTTCCCAGACCTGTGAAAAATAATGACATATATAAGACAAACGGAAATCTGAACATTTATTAGACAATATTAAGGAATTGTTAACCATTTTTTAGGTGGGAAAAGTTTTGTGATTATGTTTTAAAGAGTCCTGTTCTTCTTGGAGAGATTTCTTATTAAATACAGAAGAAATAACCCAATGCCTGAGATTTGCTCCCAAATAACACAGGAGGGGGCAGGGGGGTTGTGGGTAATTGGTGGTCAGAGCTATGTACTGAGTACCCAGGGTTCATTGTGGACTATTGCCATATGTTCGAAATTCTTCCTAATTCAATAGCGTAGAAAAGGACTAGGCAAGGTCTGACTTCCTACTCCCACTCTCAGTCCAACCCCAGACGTTCCCCCCGGGGGCCGACTCCACAATTTGAGGAGCGCTCATGTCTGAGTTGTCCTGGCTCCCCATAAAAACAAAGGCAGGAGAGGTCCCAGGACAGAGAAATGCTCTAATGGGGGTCCCGCCGGCAGCTTCGCGCTCCTTAATGGCTCAGCGACTTGCGGCCTTTGTGCATGCGGCGAAGGATGACCTGGACGCCGGACGGTGTGCTCAGGCGCCGGATCCAGCCATGTTTGTGCTTGCGTTTGATGTTGCTCGGCTGATACTCGTTTCCACGCGCCTTTCCCCGGTTCTGCTGTGTGGCAGGAAGTCCCCAGGCGTCGGGGAGCCCCAGCCAGGCGCGGGGCTGGAGCCACCTGCGGGGGGAAGAGAGATGGCGAGGAAGGTCAGAGGGGGCGCTCTGTGACTTCGGCGTGACGTCCCACCACTCTGAGCCTCAGCTCCCCTATCGGTGCCTGGACGGAGCCTGGGTTCAAGGAGGGGCTCCACCAAGGCGCAAGGCGTTGGCAAATCATATTGTCAGTAAACAGCTGACACCAGCCCCCGACACAGCCCTTATTTCCAGATTTGGGGAAGGGGCCCCGTCAGGACTCACCTGACGCGACCCAACTGGCGACCTGCGGCTCCGATCAAGAAATCCATGTCCAGCCGCCGGTCGCAACGTCCCCACGCCCGCTATTCCAAAGCGAATAGGCTCTGCAGCTGCGAACGAAAACTTCTGGGAAATGTAGTTTCTCCTACCGCGGGAGGCCGCGTGGCCTCCGGGTCCTCCTGGAGTGGTAGTTCTGCGCCTGCGTCCCATCCGCAGGAGCGTCCTTACCTGCAAGGGAGTGTAGTTCCTCATGTGGACCAGCAGGTGGCAGGCGAACGGCACCTCTTTGGCATGCGCGTGCGTACAAGACGTTGTGTCCCGGGGTCCTCTGGGAGCTGTGGTTCCTTCTCTCGTCGACCCGCAGAGGGTGCCCGGAGGTGACCGTAGCGCAGCTGGTGGCAGCCTCAGGAAACGGCTGGTCGATCCTCCTTCCCCCAGCAGGAGGCAGGCAGATGGCACACAGCTGGCTGGCAGCTTTTCTCTGGGCCCAGCCAAGTCTCTGTTCCTTGGCGGGGAGCCCAGGAGACCTAAGTTGGAGTTGCCTGGATGTCCTTGGGGTGGTCCCTCCTCCTCTCGGGGATTCAGTTTCTCAATCTAAAACTCATGTGTTTCAAGCTTGCCCTTGGTGGTACCTTCATTCTGGCCCTAGAAAAAAAATTTCTAATACTCAGATCTGAGCCCCTTCCCTTCTCTCTCAGCGTCTATGGTGCTCGTTTCCCCAGGGAAAATATTCAGCTCCTCTGGCAAGCTTATGAAGCCCTCCATACACACACACACACACACACACACACACCCTCTAAAATTTCAGCCACATCCGTCTATGCCTGATGTTCCACACATCTTCCCCCCCCCCACATTCACTTTTAAAATCCTCGGATATTTTCCTCTCCCCCAGCCCCATCCCTCCCTTTGGCCCAACCGTGTCCCCATATGACTCTCCCCAGACTCTCCCAAAAGCCCAGGGGCTCCTCAAGGGCTAGGCTTGTGGCTGAGTCCCTGCAGGCACCCCAGAATCTCCCAGCTTGGAAGGCGGGGGAGGGGGGGCGGGAGAAGGGGACTGTTTACTGCATGAATCAACTGTAGTCTCCCAGGAGCATCCTGAGTGGGCAAGAGTGGGAGGTGGGACCTAATTCAGCTCTGGCAGCAAATTCCAGGAGATGGGAGTGGGCAAGGAATGGTTAACCCCTTGTCCTCTGAAGCCCATCCCACCTGCACCATCACTTAGCAAACCAGTATGGTATTATATTACTAAACCAGTACAATAATGTCAATAATGTATTGAACACTTATCATTCTGGGTGTTTTTACCTGCAAAGCATACTCATAAGGGGATTAATTTCATAGAGAAATAAGTGGAGTCTCAGAGAAACGGCTTGCTCAAGGTCACATATCAACAAAGGGAAATGTAGTTTGAACCTTGGGATCTCTGACTCCAGCTGGGACCACAGAGTCACCGGCTAGATTGGCCAGCGGTTAGACTGGCCTGTCTGTGAAACTCCCCAATTCCCTATTTATTCATAGCTTCAAGTCGTCTGTTTAAAGATTTAACGAATAACAATTTCCAGGACTTGATATCACACAGCTGTGGTTTTAAGTACCACCTCTGCCCCCGCAGTCCCTCAGCTTGCCTTGTGACTTTGTGCCCTTTATGAGCCTCAGTTTCCCTACCCGGAATTGGAAAGATCTGGGAGTCTCTAGAACAGAAAGGTCACAGAGAGAGGACTATGGGGGTCCCACTTGGAGGGTACAAGGCTGTTCGGAGGCATGGGCTAGACGAGGGGATCCTATTCGCAGTAAGGGGCTCCGGCTGCTACCTCCCCGGAGCTCCGCAGACCCCAGTTTGGGACCCCTTCTCGGCCCTGGGCCAGGCCCAATCCCTCCCTCCTCCTCGGTAAGCCCCAGAAGGGGGTGGGGCTGCTGCTTCCTGAGCCCGCCTTCATCCCGGAGCTACCGCCTATGATTGGTAATCTAACTAGGCCAGGTCATTTCATAACTCTGATTGGTCTAGACGCCCGTCCGTCGGCATTCGGCCCCTCCCCCCGGGGAGAGACTTAAAGGGCCGGCTCTCTCGGCGGCCGCGGGATGCCCCCGCGCTGACCGCCGTGGGCCCGAGCCCGCCCGCGTAGACGCGCCGGGCCAACCCCGTGCCACCATGTAAAACGGCGCCGCAGGCGGACGCTGGCTTCTCTGCCCGGGACCCCTCCGCCCTGCCCCGGGCTACAGGGCCCTCGATGAGGTGAGCGGGGAGTGGGCTCTGGGAGGGGGACATCGAGGTCCCCGGAGCTTCCACTTCGGAAGGGGGTGTGCACAAAGCCTGTGCTCGGGCTCTTACGAAGCCGCGGAGTCCCAGTGGTTCGACCCCGCCGCAGGGCTTACTAGCACCTGAGAGGCAGGGATCTGACTCTCTGGGGAGGGGACCTGGCGTGGCGCATCTGCGTCCCCCTCCGCAATCCGGGGTTGGGATTCCACTGGAGTGGGGGGACGCGACCTGCTTCCCCTCTATCAGCAAATACGGGCCATCGGAGGCCGTGCCTTCGGCGTGTCTTATCCCCGCGGCGCCCAGGATGGGGACGGGGGAGGGGTTGGTCCCATCTCCAGGCCCTAGACAATGGGGGTGCGCTGCACGGGTATCCCCCTCGAGTTATGTAACTGCCTGTGGTTGCCATGGACACGGGGGGGGGGCCCAGGGAGCAGGATAGAGGACCGGAGGCCCCCAGGGAGGGCTTTACCTTCTCCCTCCTCATTTCCACCTTTGGGGATTGTGTGTCAGACCCCCAGAAGCCAGGGTACTGACAAGGGTACAGACTGGGCTTCAGCTTGCCCATCTGTGATATAGACCCAGTCTGGGTCTTGCGGAGCTGGACAAGGCCTTCTGGAGCTCAGTCCCTAACCCCCTATCCCAGGGCCTCACCTTTCAGGAGCCAGGTTCAGAGGCCTGGATGGGGGCTCATTGGAATCTGTACCTTTTTAGATGCCTTCTGAGGCAGTCAGAATGTGCCCATTTGGTGAAAGTAAGTTAAATGAGAATGTGTGCATGAATGAATGGATGGATGGATGAATGAATGGGTTATGGAAGCAATAGCTGCCATAACCCTAGCTGCGGGGCCGGGGCGGGGGGCTCATTTGCCACAATGTCCCCTCCTCCAAGAAGCAGCCCTGGACTATACCACCTTCCCTATGGACCCCTCTTGGGGTCAGCCATAGCCAGGTCCTTCTCTCTAGGATAGACTAGGCTAGCCCAGGAGGGTAGCCAACCACCATGCAGGCACTGACCAGACAGACAAAACATCTTGGTGCTTGGCTAGCTCTGGCCCTCCAAACACTGGAGCGAGCCCAGAAGGGGCCTCCTAGTTCAGCTCACCTGACGCAGGTGCAGGGAGTGGGTGCTGTGGGGGAGGAGGGCTCCTCATTTAGATGGCCCCTGAGATGGTTGTGCCCCCACTTGCAGGACACACCATGCTGACTGGGGTGACCGACGGGATCTTCTGCTGCCTGCTAGGCGCACCGCCCAACGCTGTGGGGCCGCTGGAGAGCATCGAGTCCAGTGATGGCTACACCTTTGTGGAGGTCAAGCCTGGCCGTGTGCTGCGGGTGAAGCATGCTGGGCCTGCCCCAGCCCCCAACCCACCTCCACCACTGCCAGATGCTGCCCAGGGGGACCAGTCTGGCTTGGTCCGCTGCCAGCGCCGAATTACCGTGTACCGCAATGGGCGGTTACTGGTGGAGAACCTGGGCCGGGCACCTCGAGCTGACCTCCTGCATGGGCAGAATGGCTCCGGGGAGCCTCCGGCCGCCCTAGAGGTGGAGCTGGCCGACCCAGCGGGCAGCGATGGCCGCTCAGGCTCAGGTGGTGCCGGGAGTGGCAGTGGCGGGCGCCGGCGGCGAGCCCGGCGCCCCAAGCGCACCATCCACATTGACTGTGAGAAGCGCATCACAAGCTGCAAAGGTGCCCAGGCCGACGTGGTGCTCTTTTTCATCCACGGTGTTGGCGGCTCCCTGGCCATCTGGAAGGAGCAGCTGGACTTCTTTGTGCGCCTGGGCTATGAGGTGGTGGCACCCGATCTGGCCGGTCACGGGGCCAGCTCGGCACCCCAGGTGGCCGCAGCCTACACCTTCTATGCGCTGGCAGAGGACATGCGTGCCATCTTCAAGCGTTATGCCAAGAAGAGAAACGTGCTCATTGGGCATTCCTACGGGTGAGCCAATGCTGGGGTGGGGATAGGGGTGAGAGATGGGGGTAGCAGGGACTGGACACCCAATCACCAAACACTGACTTCTCTCCTTGAAAACTCTCATTAACATCTATAACAAGATAGGGATTCCCACCACCACTGCTATTGTTATATATTCTTTCATTTATTTATTTATTTTAAGATTTTATTTATTTTTTGACAGAGACAGACACACAGAGAGAGGGAACACAAGCAGGGGGAGTGGGAGAGGGAGAAGCAGGCTTCCTGCTGAGCAGGGAGCCCGATGCGCAGCTCGATCCCAAGACCCTGGGATCATGACCCGAGCCGAAGGCAGACACTTAACAACTGAGCCACCCTGGCGCCCCTCATATTCTTTTAAAGCAGTGTTTCTCAGTCCCAGCACTGCTGACATTTTGGATTAGGTCATTCCTCTCTTTGAGGGGCTTTCATGTGCACTGTAGGATGTTAGCAGCATCCCTAGCCTCTACCCACTGGTTGCCCCTGGCACAGTGGCCCAGTGATGGTCATGACAATCAAAAGATGTCTTAAAAAAAAAAAAAGTGTCTTCAAATATCGCCACACGTTCCCTGGCAGTCTGAATCATCCCTGGCTGAGAACCAGTGTCTTTAAGTTTAAAAATCAGTTGCTCTGGAGATCCCAAGGCCTCCAAGGAAGAGCTGATTAGAATCCTGTAAAGTCTTTTTACAAGAGCCCAGGTTGCTGTAATTCACTCCCACTTAAAGGGGTGATACATAATACCATCTAGCATTTGGGTGAGTGCCCACTGCATTGAAGACTGGGCCTGGGTGCCTGCTCACTGCCAAGTGGTACCACTCTCTTTTACCCAGGAGGAAAGGCAGGATCTGACCAGCCTAGTTTGAGAGCCACTGTTTTAGTGGTGTGGCCCATGCAATTAGACAAGAGAAAGAAATGTTACATATGTTTCAGAAAGAAAGGAAGCCAGGCTGGGAAGTAACATAGCTCCTATTTGTTTATATAACACCCCCAAAAGTGGATGCTTATGCTAAATGTTTCCTTCAATTAAATGAGCACCCATCCGTGGTATTTCCTGTGACCTCATAGCAATGCTATGAGGACAGCCCAGTTACTTTTTCACAGATGTGGAGATGGAAGTTCAGAGAGGTTAGGCAATCTGCCCAAAGGCACACACGGAGTCACTGGTACAGTTAAGTCCAACTGACTCTTGCTGGCATCCTAGTTCTTCTTTACAGCTAGGGTTGGTAAATTTTTTCTTAATGGGCCAGATAGTAAATATCTTACGTTTCTAGGACATATGGTCATCTCTGCTGGAGCTTTACAACTCTACTCTCATAGCAAAAAAGCCCCCATAATTGTAAACAAATGGGCGTGGCCGTATTCCGATAAAACTTTATTTACTAAATAACACCCTTACAAAATGGTAAACTCAATTTACGAAAACAAATGGCTAGCCCACAGGCCATCGTTTGCCAAACGAACCCGGCTTTAGAGGGAATGAGGAGCTGGACTAGGGGGGCTCTTCAGGCTGCCCCCTGCCACCCTGCATAAGGCAGGCTGATGTGCCATGCCCAGAGGCTGGAGACAGAGGATCCTTACAGGGAAAGGATGCACAGGAAACAGGGGACCTTCTCTGGGAAACCAAAGTGTAGCAGTCTAATTGGGTTGCTTTCTTAACACTTGGCAATAAGTAATTCTCACCCATTTGCGGGTCATGGCAGCTTTGAGGATCTGATGAAAGCTCTGGATTTGGATCTTCTCTCCAAAAAGAAGGGGGGAAAAATCACTGTTAACACACACATAGTCCTATAGTTTGGGGGCCCTCAAGATGCCCCCCCATCCCTCACTCCCATCCAGTGCCCGTGGGCCCCAGGGGAAGAATGTTGGCCTTCAAGAACCTGTCTCTGGGTGAGGGGAGGGCATTAAGTCCCTCACTGCCTGGATCCTGCTGACCACCCCCCTTCAATCCTCCCCGCCACCCACCTACCCACTGGCAGTGTCTCCTTCTGCACGTTCCTGGCACATGAGTACCCAGACCTGGTGCACAAGGTGATCATGATCAATGGCGGGGGCCCCACAGCACTGGAACCCAGCTTCTGTTCCATCTTCAACATGCCCACCTGCGTCCTGCACTGCTTGTCACCCTGCCTGGCTTGGAGCTTTCTCAAGTGAGTCACCCCGGCCCTGGCAGACTGGGCATCTCCCTGAGTTGGGTGGGAGGGGAGGCCGTGTCGCTGCTGGGACGGGCATTGGAGGCGCCCCTGGTAGCCGGGCTGGCACGAGGCCTCCAGGAGTGCGTCCCCACCACCAGGGCTGGCTTTGCCCGCCAAGGAGCCAAAGAGAAGCAGCTACTGAAGGAGGGCAATGCGTTCAACGTGTCATCCTTCGTCCTGCGAGCCATGATGAGTGGCCAGTACTGGCCTGAAGGTGACGAGGTCTACCATGCTGAGCTCACTGTGCCCGTCCTGCTCGTTCATGGCATGCACGACAAGTTTGTGCCGGTGGAGGAAGACCAGCGCATGGCCGAGGTAGGGCCTTGGCACCTGAGCCATCCGCCCCGCTCCATTCCCTGCTCACACGCTCCAGAGGGATTCTGCCTTGTGCTCCCAGCGAAGGGAGAGCTTAGATTGAGAGTGCAATCCAGAACATGGGGCTGCCCTGGACAGGTGTCAGGACTGGGTGCTTTCCCCACTGCACATAAAAGGTGCTCTGCACAGCTGGGGTTTGTATAAGTGACCAGGGACGCAATACATAATTCTGGGAGAGGGTGGGCCAGAGGATCTTTAGATCAGACACTACGGAGAAAGGGTCTTGGGATCCTCAGCACTTGGAATAGCTCCGGACCAGTGGTTCTTAACCAGCAAGGATTCTGAGCCCCGGGGGGACATTGGAAATGTCTGCAGACTTTTTTGGTTGTCATGTATGGGGGGGGAAGGGCTTCTGATATCTGGTGGGTGGAGGCAGGGATGCTGCTCAGCATCCTGTAATGAACAGAATGATTCTTCGGCAAAGAATGTTCCCACCCACCCCAGGTGTCAGTAATGCCAAGGTTGGAAAGCCTGGCATGAGAGACCTTGTCTATTTCCGTGATTCTCACCCAGCTGTGAATTTGCTCCCTAGGGATATTTGGCAATGTCTGGAGACATAATAAGTCGTCACAGTGTGGGGTGGGGGGAGTGGGTCACTGCTACTGGCATCTGGTGGGTCAAGGCCAGGGATGCTGCTCAACATCCTGCAGTACACGGGACAGCCCCCACCACAGAGAATGATCCTGCCCTATACGTCAGTAGTGCTGGGGTTGAGAAATCCTGCTCTGGACCTATTGTAGCCACATCATAAATGTTGAATGAATATTGAGTTGAGCTCCATTGGGACAACAGGCTATCCTCCAGCTCCCCCTTGGGTGGAAGTAGAGGGATGAAGGGTAGACCACAGGAGGGACTTCCTAAGGCTGCAGGCCTGGTGTGGATGGGCTTGGGTGTCCCAGGGCAGCCTGCCTTTGCCACGCTGAGCCCGTGTCCCCCCCCCCCCCCCCCGCAGATCCTGCTGCTGGCTTTCCTGAAGCTCATTGATGAAGGCAGTCACATGGTGATGCTGGAGTGTCCGGAGACGGTCAACACGCTGCTCCACGAATTCCTGCTCTGGGAGCCCGAGCCCTCGCCCAAGGCCCTGCCCGAGCCCCTGCCCGCGCCTCCAGAAGAGAAGTAGCCGCTGGGCCGGCCGGGCATCGCTTGGTAAGCCGAGGAACAGCAGGAGGAAGCCAGGAGCCGCCCCTCGTCCGCAGCGCGGACCACCTGGGCGGGCTGTTCGCTCCGGTGGGCGGAGTCAGGTCAGCGAGACGCCCCCAGGCCGGCTGGGTAGGGCCTGGCATTCTCCGGAGCCAAGCGGATACACCGCTCTCCGCTTCCATCCTGCCGGACCCATCGGTGTTTTGGGGTCGGAACCGGAACCCCCGTGGAGGATGACCTTGTACAGAAGCCCCTGCCCCTCAACGCCACGGCCGAGGCAGGCCCCCCACCCCGCTCTCTGTCTTCCGTGTCAGCCGTGCTTGGTCCTGGGACCCTCCGGGGCCCCGCCTCATTGCCCGAGACCCTCCCCACCCCCATTTCTTGGCGCTGGGAGCTATTGTTGCCCAAGTGGAGGGGGGAGGGAGAGGGGGGCTGGCGCCACCGAACCTGCACATCTCAACTTGTAACTCAATAAAAAGAAGTGACAATCTGAGGCTCCGGACCTGTGCTGGGTGCCGGCAGGGCAGGGTCGTCCTGAGCCTCAGTTTCCCAGTCTGCAGACTGGGCTGATGCGGGCGTCACCCCCTCACGGCTGACTTGCGGAGAAGTGAGGGCGTTGGCCTTCCAGGCTTGCTTCCCCGAGTTCTCCCTCCCTCCCTCCGAATGCAGGGGCTGCTTGGGCAGTATTCCCAGAGCAGAGGCAGATGGTGAGCTCCGGGTCCCTGGAAGGCAGGAAGCCTTCCGACTGAGGTTCATACAGGGGTTAAGGGGCGGATCAGTAGATGTTGCATGGGTCGGAGCTGCCATAATTGAGTGCCACCTGTATACAAAGCCCTGTGCCAAGTGCCTGACGCCTTCGGTTCATTGAATCCCTTTTCTCCTGTGCCACTCAGTGAGTCGGTACCTCTTACTATCCCATTGTCTCTTCCAACCTGGTTTAAGGTCACTTTTGCCGTGAAGATAAGCTTTTGTTTGTTTTGAAGCGAACGAGTCTGCCTTTCTTGTCGGGCAGAAGGGTCTCCTGACCTACGGCCATGCCCTCACTCCTCTATATTTTCTAATGTATGCATCGCAAGGTACACCTCTGGCTTGTGTGATCGGTGAGGGGAGAGCACTGTCCCTTTAGTGACTTCATCTTTAGTCCTTTTCCCACTGGTTTGTAAGCCCACGTTTAGTTTAGACCAGAGTTCTCATGGGGGGCACTGTTTTCCACTAGTAAATTTAAAAAATATATATTTTAGGGGCGCCTGGGTGGCTCAGTTGGTTGGGCGGCTGCCTTCGGCTCAGGTCATGATCCTGGAGTCCCGGGATCGAGTACCGCATCAGGCTCCCTGCTCAGCAGGGAGTCTGCTTCTCCCTCTGACCCTCTTCCCTCTCGTGCTCTCTATCTCTCATTCTCTCTCTCTCAAATAAATAAATAAAATCTTAAAAAATATATATTTTATTTATTTGAGCGCACACCCACATGAGTGGGGGGGGGCAGAGGGAGAGGGAGAAGCTCTCTGCTCAGCGGGGAGCCTGATGCAGGACTTGATTCCAGGACCCTGAGATCATGACCCTAGCCAAAGGTAGACGCTTCACCGATTGAGCCACCCAGGCGCCCTCCATTAGCAAATTCTGGAGACATTTTTAATTGTGGCAACTGGGGGTGGGAGGAAGTGGGTGGAGCCCACTGGACAGGACTGCCCCTACCGCAAAGAATAATTCGGCCTCAAATGTCAGTAGGGCCCACATTGGGAAATCCTGTTAGACAAATCTCATCTCTTTTGAGTCTTTTTCTGAGGTGTGTGTGTGTGGGGGGGTGTCTCTGGATTTTTTCCCAGTGACTTCTTTGTGAATTCCTGGGCATGTGGCACACTTCTAATTGCTATCACTTTATCAAGAGACTTGGTGTCTGGGAGGCCTCCTGGTCTTATATGTGAGGAAAGGGAAGCTCAGAGAAGTTTCCTGAGTTTGGTCAAAATGGTAGAACCCAGGGGCCCCTGCGTGGATCTGTCGGTTAAGCGTCAAACTCTTCATTTCGGCTCAGGTCATGATCTCAGGGAGATGGGATCAGGCCCCTCGTGGGGGGGGGGGCTCCCGCTCAAGACAGAGTCTGCTTGAGATTCTCTCTCCCGCTCTGTCCCTCCCCCAGCTAACGCGTGCTGTCTCTCTCTAAATAAATAAAATCTTTAAAAATAAATAAATAAATAAATAAATAAATAAATAAATAAATAAATAAATAAAAAAAATGGTAGAGCCCAGACCCACTCCAGAGGCCTGGCCCCTAATCACCATACCAGCCATTCTCCAAGAGTAGCCAGGGGCTCAGCCTGCAGGAGTTGAGGCAGGTGGGACGGTCCGGGGTCACATCCCACCCCCTGCAGGACGTGGTTCGCTGAGCCATGACGATGGGCAGGTGGCCAACCCAATGAGGCGGCAGATCCTCCCAAATCCCTAAATACACTAAATGCTTTGAAGAAGTAACTCCCAGAAAATAAAATGATCCCGTCAACACCTCACCAGGATGGCAGCTTGGCATTTACTAAAGCTCTTAACATGTGTGAAGTCTGAAATCGCATAGCATCACCAGGAAATGGCGGTTATTTATTGCATCTTCTAGCAGAAGAAACAGCCTCAGAGAAGCAATGGAGACCCGAGTTGCACAGCTACCCTGAAGAGGGCTGGTCGCTCACCCAGACCCCGGTCGATCTCCCGGGCTCTGCCCACATGTCACCACACACAGTCGGCCCCTTGACAGCATCAGGGCGCCTCCCTTCCCCAAGAGATTTTCCACCTGCTGGGCTCCTCTGAGCCACACACTGTATTTCCTGCCTTTGTTTACTCCGGTCTCCACCATGACCCCCTGAGGTAGGACTTGTCACTGTCCCCACTGTACAACTAAGGAAACTGAGCCTGAGGAAGACAAGTTATTGGTCCGAGGTCCCATAGCTGGGAAGCAGAGAAATCCGGCCCTTGAGTTTGGCCGCTCCCCACAGCCCATCCTACATGTGAGTCCCCTGTGTCTCAGAGATAAAAGTGGATTACACAGACAGGACCAAACTGCCAAAGCACTAGCATATTCTGAAGCACTGGAATGTACCAAAGATCCTCTGGTTCCCTACTTGCTCTCCCATGACGGGAAGCTCCAGAAGCTCCATCTGTAACAAAGTCTTCCCTCAGCTTGGGGGGAAGATACACCCTCCTGCCCGCCGCCCCCTCACCCCTGGCAGCCTTCTGGAGATGGGTGGCTGCCGTCAGCATGGGGCAGCTGCAACATTCAAACACCCTGATCTCTACCTAGGCTGGATGGCCAACTCCCCAGTACTCAGCCACGCGCCTGGATGTCCTGGGGCCGCAGCTCTCGCTCACCCTCAGCCAAGAAGACAAGGAGGGCGCGGTGCAGCAGATGCACCCCCAAGCGGCGGCGCCGGGTGGCTGGCCAGCCCGCCACGACTCCATAGCAGTGTCCTTGTTTCCGGTTGGTCAGCGTCTGGAGCCCTGGAGAGATGAAGGGTCAGGCATCCTTGGAAACCCTTGGCAGATGTGACAGGGAACCCACTGCATATTGCTCTTAAGCAGGGACAAACCAATAGAGCAAAATATATACGCGTGCAGGTACATAGTTGGTGCTCAATAATTGCTCATTGCATGAATGAATGAACAACTATGAGAGGAAAGGGGTGAGGTAATCAGTAGATCAAGGGTCCTTCATGTAACTCCACCCCCACCCCACAAGCCAGGCACCGACCTAGAGCATCCACAAGACACGCCTCTCGAGTATAAGCCTCCACAGCAACCACGTGTTGGAAGCAATGCAGGGAGACCACACCACGACCACTGGCCCAAATGTCCAAGATCTGGCGCACTTTGGGGCAGGCCTAGGGGACCAGGGTGGGGTCAGGGGTCTGCCCTCCAATCCCCTCCTCCCTTTACCTCCCCATGGCCCAGCTGCCCCTGCCATGACCCGGATCCTTAGCCCCACCTGCTTTCCTGGCTGCCGACGGAGCCTGAGGGCCTCCCAGAGGTGGACATCCGGCCGGGCCCGTGTCCCTTTCCCCACATAGAAGATGGCACGGACAAAAGTCCGAAGGAGCTCAGCGGGGGTCAGTGAGAAGGCTCGAGCTGGCAGGTCCTGAGTCTCCCTGGATGAGGGGAGTAGCTCAGAGAGGAAGAAGTGATGACAGTTGCCCCAGAGACAGTTTCTAAGTTCACAGGGCAGCCTGAATCCATGTCCAGTGAGCCCCATTTTCTAAGGCAGAGAGTGGTAGATGCCCCCTAGGGACACTCAGCAGCTTGAACTTGGTCTAACCAACCTTTTAAAGAAGCTGATGCCCAGACACAGCCAGTCCCCCTTTTAAAGATACAAAGCAAATAAGAACCAATCCTAGAATTTTCCAGCTCCCACCTCTGAGTCATCCCTGCCCCAAGTACCTGGGGTCCAATAGTAGATACGTGAAACTGGACTTCACGACCCCCTCCCGCCACCTTCTCTTGGGATCAGGCCGCTCAAACTGCTGGGCAAGCACATCCTCATCTGCCTGGGCATCTGGGATACAGCCTGTCCGCAGGGCTTCGGCGAGCTCTGGGCTGTGCCCTGAAAAGTCTGAGTCCCAGATTGGGCGAGGGGGGAGGACTGAGTCAAGGCAGACAGAAGAAGGGGCTGTTCCCAGAGACAAAGAATAAAATACGCAGGACTGAGAGACAGGGGTCTCCAGGAATTCCTGGAGGCTCCTTGGACTCTGGATGCCTCTTACAGACTAACCAGGAGCAGCATGGGCTTCTTCCAGCCGTCGGAGGTGGTATGGCCGAGTGAAGGGTGTGATGGGGCCGGGACTCTCGCCAAGTGCTCGGAGCCCTTGCAGCAAATCCAGGTCAGACATGGCAGGGACCGGAGGGCACCAGCAAGAGGGAACAGGGTCCCTGCCACCTGTGAAGCTTGCCTCGTCCTCCGTCAGCCAGAGGGCAGCCACATCACTGTCGAGGGACACCTCTTCGTCTTTTAGGAAGGGGGAGTCGGGGAGTCCAGGCGGTGGTTCCTGAGGGGGGCTTGGGGCAGGGCTCCCATCAGGGAGGGATATGGTGGAGAGGGAGGCATCTGGAGAGGTCAGAGTCAGGGCCCGCAGACGGGTATTTAGTTCTGCCTCCCTGTCTGCCCTGGCAGCTCGATGCACCAGCTGTGGGGTACCTGGAGACCTTGGCATCCTCTGGGAAGGTCGAATACCAGGCAGGAGTCCCTGCTTGGTCTGGGGTAATGACCCAGCCCAGGAGGAGGTATGCGGGGCTGGATCTTCAGTTCCAGAAGCTTCAGTCGCAGTGACAAAGGAGGTATCTGAGCTGTAGTCCCATAGTCCTGGGGGGGACTCCAAGCCGCCATCCTTGTCAGCAATCTCAGGGTGGGCAAGGAGGCTGGGGAGTCTGGGGCTGGCCTCCAGGCCCATGTCCCTGCCATCACGTCTGCCCAGTGCTGTGGAGCCCGGGGTCACATTGGGAGGTCCAGAGGGGCTGGTGTCCAGCCCCTTTCTCCGGGGGTCTGGACCTGAAGTAAGGGATGAGAATAAGGGTCAGAGAGGAGGGGTGAAGAGAGCCAGAGACAGAGATGGGGGTTGGATCAGACAAAAAGAGGCAGCTGGAGTCTTGCAGGGAGCAGGGAGAGTCAGAGGCAGACAGCTTACCGGAGACAGTGCACGTGAGCCAGAGTCAGAAAGGGAACATCAGAGGGACGCGCAAATCTAGATCAGAGGTTAGGCCCCCGAGGACGCGCAGGCCCCACTCACCGTCAGCCTCGGGCTCAGGCTCCTGGCTCTCTGCCCGGGTCCGGGTCGACGTCTTGGTCCGAGTCTGGAACTCCCGAAGGACGCGCGCGCAATCCTGGTGCCCCTGGTGCTCTGCCAGGTCCAGCGGCCGCAGTCCGTCCTGCGGCGGCGCGGTCAGCAGGGGGCACCCGAGGCCTTCTTCCCTCCCTTCTTCCCTCCCTCCCTTGCTCCCTCCGGGTTCGCCGTGCCACTGCAGGCGCCGGGCTCCCACCTGGTCTCGCAGTGTAGGGTCCGCTCGGTGGCCCAGCAGTAGCTCCAGGCCACGGCGACAGCCCCAGGCGGCAGCCACGTGCAGCGGCGTCACGGCCTCGACCGAACTGGGGCAGGAGCGAGGAGGGCTCAGCGGAGGGGGGAATGTGATCTCCGCCTCCGCACCCCGGAACCTTGGCTCTCGGGCTCCTATCGCCACCCCCCAGCCTGAAACACCATCCCTGGATCCTAGACACTGTGCCCTCGGCCAGACTCAAGCCTCTGCTCTCTGAGCCTAGAGCTCCCACCGCCAGATCCGAACCTTTGATCCCTACTTGGCCCCGGCGCAACCTCACATCCACCCTCCCTCTGGGACCCTAGCCCCCGCCCTTGCATCCTCAGGAACCGCCCCGAGATCCCAAGCCCCACCTTTGGGCACCGAGTCTCCGCCCCTGGGCTGTGGGATGCCCTCTCCCAGACTCCCAGTTCTTGCCCTCGGACTCGGGAGACCCCTCCCCTGCGCGGCTCACCCCCGCCCGGGGGCCAGGCCCCGCCTCACCGAGAGTTAGCGTCCCCGCCTCGGCGCAGCAGGGCTTCGAGACAGCGCAGACCGCGCGGGTGCCGGGCTCCCGCCGCCAGGTGCATGGCTGCCGCTCCATCCGCGAGCAGCAGGTTGGGGTCGGCGCCGCGGCTCAGCAGTTCCTCCACCGCCCTACCGACTGGAATGTCAGAGTGGACCACGACCCCCGCTCCGCCCCCGGCCGGGTCCCCGCCCTCACCGCGGCTCCTCCTCCCGCAACGCTGCCCGAAGCCGCTGCGCCAGGCCGGCCGCCGCATCCATGCCGGGGCTGTACCGGAGCCCCGAGGCCCTGCCCGCCGAGTTCCAACTTCCCGCCGCGCCCGTGTGCGCACGCGCCGCCCCACCCCCCCCTCGGGTCTCCGCGGGCCGGCGCCGCTCAGTGTCCCCGGCCAAGCTGACCTACGCCGCACCTGCGTCCACATCCGGGCGCGGAGCTCTAGCGCCTGCGGGGGCCGGTGACACCGAGTGGCGCTCAGGCAGGGCCTGGGGCCGCCGATAAGGACCCGGGCGGGTGGAGGCCGCCGAGTGTGCCATTATCTCGTCTCAAAGGCGGGGAAAAGCGAACTCACCCTAATAGAGGGGTGGAGCTGCTTCCCGGGACCGGAGGTGTCCACAGGGCACTACGGCTCGCCAGGGGGGGGCCTCCGTGGACGCGCACAGCCGCGATACTGTGGAAGGCTTCAATTAACAGCTCCCGCCGCCATCCCTGGGTCGCCCGTTTTCACTCCTGGGGAAACGGGAGAGGCCACTACTTTGGAGCTCTGGGCTGCTGAGGGCCTTAATTTTCCCATCTGCAAAACGGGCGAATAATCTCTTCCAGGCTGGTGTGAAATGGCACGAGTTTCACCACAAGGGCCTGGCACATAAGTGCCCAATAAACGCTCAGAGGTAGGAAAAGCTGTTGCTCAATAAAGCTGTTTCCGGGGTGCCTGGGTGGCTCCGTTGGTTGGGTGGCTGCCTTCAGCTCAGGTCATGATCTCAGGGTCCTGGAATGGAGACCTGCATGGGGCTCCCTGCTCAGCGGGAAGTCTGCTTCTCCCTCTGCCCCTCCACCCCCATGCGCTCACACATCTCTCTCAAAAATAAATACAAAATCTTAAAAAAAAAAAAAAAAAGCTGTTTGTTTTATAAGAATCTAGTTGCTAAACTTTTTTAACAATAGCTCATTATCCAGGAAGGTAGCTGAATGGTAGAACTGTTGTATCTGTCTTTGGTCTCCCTTCCTCTGGGGAAAACTCATACTATCTCCTGAAAGAGCTGTAATCCCTTCCCAGAGGAGAGATCAATCCCTTCCCAGATCAAGTCCTGGCAGATCAGAGCATCCCACAACTCTGGCCCAATGTAAGTTTACCTGACCCAGGCAAGGCCGGTCCTATGGAGTTGTGGGGGCCCTCTCTTCACCTGGGCTGTAGTTTGAGGAGTGATCACAGCCCTTTCCGTGGTTTGGGAGAAAAGCAGGGCACACTGAACACCGATCATGCAAGATATTTCAGCCCACCTCAATGGCATTATTGTCTGACAACTGAATACAGCAAAGCCTGAAGCTGCACTTTGCTTTTTATCCACAAGAACCCAATCATTCCCCTTTCTGTTCAGCCGGTAGGTTTTCTGTCACTTGCAACCAAAAAAAACCCAATTAACACAAGGTACCTGTTGTGGACCTGGGTTAGGGATTCTCAGATTTTTATTCTGATGACAAAAAGCACACAGGGAAGAACAAAACTTACAGTCGACAAACCAGTAGTGGGAGGCGGCCTGGAAAACATAGGGAATGGGTGCCCAGAGTCCCCAGGAGCCTCCTGGAACCCTGCCACAGAGCCCAGTTTAAGAACCCTCTCTAAGCCAAGGGCTTCACTGCACAAGAAGACGGAGATGCACAGGGATGGTTCAGACGGTGGCTTCGACCTCAGTGGCTTCATCGTCCTCCTCCAGCAGGCTGTAGGAAGCGTGACTCTGGCAGGGCCGCTGCAGTGGGTGAGCCAGCAGCTTGGCCATACAGTTGTGCAGCTCAAGGGCTGGCCCAGCCAGCGCCACCTCATACTTGTAGCTGGTACCCTTGGTATCCAGGCTGCCCATGAAGGCAAACATGTCCTGTGGGGCCAGGGAGGGGCCGTTCAGGTAGAGGTTCCCCGATGGACCCTCTCTGCCCCTGGAGGGCTTCCCAGAGGAGGGGGCATCAGGGATGGGTTCTGAAGGATGAAGAGGAGTTTGCCAGAAAAGGAAACATTCCCATGTTCAGCAAATATTCCCCCACCACCCACCCAGTGGTAGGGACCCCAAGAAATCTCAGTCCTGGAGCCCCTAGTTTGGAGAAACACAGTTAGATGCAGACTACCCCAGCCCCCACGCTAATCATCCCTGAGGAGCAGAGCCTTTAGGTTTGGGTGCTGAAGTATGAGTAGGAGCTGGTCTCAACTCCCCCTGTTCACAGTCAGGTAAACTGAGACTCAGAGGTAAGTGGCCTAATCAAGTTTCTATAGGTCAGTCTGGGCTGGGATACGAAAGACCAGTAGAGCCTGGGGAGGCAGGAGGGAAGGGCGTGCCAAGCAGAGGGCACCATGAGAGCAAAGGCAGAGAGACGCCCTCGCTAGCTCAGTGCAGACACGCAGAAATCGTTGCTGAATGGCCTAAGGACCATGATCCAGCAGGGCCAGGGCTCCAGGGCTGCAAAATGGAGGTGGGTTCCGAGACACCCCACCTACACCCATCTGCCACTCACACACACAGCAGCCTCTCACCTTCCAGCTCATTTCCTCTTCCTTCTCGTCAGCGCCATTGTGGATGTAAACAACATCAAAGAAGAAGTATGGGCACTGGAACATTTTCTGCAGGGGAAGAACACCGGCCTTCGGGGCTTGAGTCACCCCATGCCCCCATGACCATAATTCCCCAGCTTTTGCCTTGGACTCTGGGAACCTGCCCACAGGCACCTCAGCTCTTGTGATCAGGAAGTCCCTCCTGGTGTCTAACCACCATTCTGCTGGCTGCAGACATCCCTCCCTTTCCCCAGCCTCACTCACCTTCATGGGCTCCGTCAGGGAGAACTGGGGCTGGCAGGGCGGACGGCTATAGACAAGGATGGTGCGGACCACGTATGGGGGTGGAATTGTCTGCACATTCTCGGTGACTGGCAGCTCAGTCTTCTGCTGGCTGCGTAGTGGACGGTGGGGGCCAAGTCAGACAGAGCACACTCTGGGGATCCACCCCTCTTGTTACCCTCGGAGAGCCCGGGACTTCACTAAGCACGCAAAGCCCACGACTGCTGCCTCTGAGCCTCCCCATATGCTGTTCCCTCTGCCCAGAGTGCCGCCCCAGCCTCACCCTTCTGTCTGACCTCTCCTGCTGGATCGGGGAGACTCCGCTGACCCCAAAGCTGGAGCCCGCTCTGACCACCCTCACCATCCTGAACATCCCCCATCATTGACCTGAGTTGGACCTGTCCCACCAGGCCAGAAGAGTCTAAGGCAGGGACCTGATCTTATCAGCTAAGTTAGCACCCACGTGCCCAACTGGCCACGGCTGGATCTCACATTGGCAGAAAGCACTGGCAGACAGAGGGCTAATGTCTTTAATACGTGAAAAGCAAATCTGATCATCAGTAAGAAAAAAGCCGACATCTCCCTATAAACATAGGCAAAGGGGACAAACGGACAAATCACTGTAGGAAGACTCAGTGGCTTACAAATGAATGAAAAAAGGCTCAAAGAAAAGCACAGTGAAAGTAACAGGTGGCTGCTAGCCTCTATCAGACAGGCAGAACCTTCAGCGGCATGAACAACTCTGGTGTTGGGAGGTACACAGGGTTGGTTTCCTAGGAAAGTGCTCTGGCAAACTCTAGCAATTAAAAATACACACCCCTTTGGCCCAGCATGTCTTCCATTGGGAATTTATAGGATGGGTTCACTTGCAAAATTTGCCAGGACCCCTGTACCAGGTTAATCACAATGGAAAATGCAAAACAGGATCCGTGTCCACCATTAGGAGGCAGGTAAAAACAGGGGTTGGACTACTAGGGTCCATAAGCTAAGAATGGTTTTTACATTTTCAAAATGGTTGGGAGGAAGAAAATCAAAAGAACATTTTGTGACACATGGAAAGGATATGAAATTCAAATTTCCGTGTTCATCAAGAACGTTTTATTGGGACCCAGGCCCGTGCACAGGTACAGTTTGTGACTGCGTTCAGATTACTCGGGCAGGATCCGGTCATCAAGACAGAGAACATATGGCCTGCAAAGCTGAACATATTTACTGCCCGGCCCTTTACAGAAAAAGCGTGCTGCCCCATGGGTTAAAACAATGGAGTGGGGGACCTCAGGGCAGTCACAGGACTGACATGGAAGGCGAGACGCGGGGAAGGCGGTTACTTACATGAGGCTGAAGAGACCTTCTAGATCTGGCAGAGATGCTAAGGAGAACGCTGGTGGCAGAGCACGGGCAGGAAGCGGCGGGTGGCTTCCCTCATTCTGATGCCAGGAGAGCCCAGGCACCTTCACACCCGGCGCCAGGTACCACTGCGCAGGAGATGTGCTGTGCGACCCTGGCCCAGTCGCTTGCCCTGTCTGAGCCTGTTTTCCCTCAGCACAGATCACGAAACAGGGGACGGCACTGGATGCCCTGAAAATCCTTGGTGGCTCAAAACACCCCTTTCCCTCATGGCCAGAGCAGCTGTCCTCAAAAGGCAAGAGCCATGGGTGTCCCCGTCCCCTACCCCCCGACACTCAGCATTGTTTTGTAACTCACGAGGATCATTTTCTGTCTAAGTTTTGGGCTGCACATGAGCCTTTTGTGTTCAAGTTAGCATGAAATGTGCTGTGCCCAGGCTGCAAGGGCTGTAGTAGTGACTGTGACTCCTCAGTCCCATATCGCCATTTATTGAGTACCAACTGTATACTTGGCCCTGCACAGAATGCTCCCCATGGGTGTGGTTTTGACATCTAGAGTCCAAATCAGTGGGTTTTGTTTCTGTACCATGTCCAGCCCCCTCCAGAGGGCAGCCCTGCCTGTAAGGATACTGAAGGTGGAGCAGGAAGCCGTCTCCAGGTCGTAGAGGCAGCTGCAGAGTTCACGGGGATCGGAGGTCAGGCCGGACAGCTGCAGGGAAGCACAGGCCTCAGCAAGATGCCTCCCCGCCCTGAAGGAACCCCTCGGCAGCCGGGCCCTGCCCCAGCCTCACCCAGGCGATGTCATCATTCACCACCACCAGCGCGAACTCATGGCTCTTGTCGATCTTGTGTTTTGTCCGCACAAACATCTCAATCA